CTGGTGTGAGATGCACCCCATCCCTTGCCAGGAGTCCATCCTCATGCAGCAAGCATGACAAGCTACCTCCTGCTGAAATTCTGTCTTCTACACAATTATCAAAAGTGGAGAATCATTTTTCTCTTTTGCATCTGACACCCAATGTGACCACATCCTTCTGGTGAGAAGAAAGGGATTAGAAGTGGACATCCAGCTGGGAGCTGTATGTAATTTTAAAGCAGATGAGAGCAAGAAGAAGTCTAAGGAATTTTGTTGCTTTCTTTGATGACAAAAGAGGAAAGAGAGGAACAGTACATGAAATCCACAGAAGAAACTAGAGACGTGTCTGAAGCTGCCCAGAAGAAGCTTATCTGATTAGCCATAAAGCCCAATACCTTTCAGCTTATGTATATTTCCAAGGTCTCCTCAGGGGCTGTAGATTTTATGATTTTCTACAAACTCTCAGGAAGACCTTGGAAGTATAGATGGATTCAAACAGGCTGGCTTTTTTTTTTTTTTTACTAATAAAACAGCCATCTTCAGACATGTCTCATGCCCCCATCTATTCTGGGATACTTTGAGAAGAAGATAGACATATGCTATTTTACTTTTATTTTCTATCCAGTGAGTGTAGTGGAACAATAAAAAAGTACTGTTGCTGTAAAATATTATGGCTGCTTGTACTATCTGTATTTTTGTGGTGGGTTTTGTTGCAAATCATTTGGGGACGCATCCCAGCTGATCATCAAAGTATAAATATAATGAACAAGCAAAGATACAAATAAATACAATGAGCTGCAATACCCCCATCGCTCTTACTGTCAACTCCTTTAAAGTTATTATTTATCTCCAAATAATTTATATATGATTTCCCTTCCATACCCTGTGGATTAACACTTCATGCTTGAAAATCTATATTGTCTATTTCCATAGCCTGGATGGTTGAATTTCATGTTAGCAATTTTGATAATAAGAGTTTGGGACAGGGAAAACATATGTGTTGGGGATAGGGATCAAAGAGAAGAGGAACACACATGCGTGCACACACGTATACACACACTTACCTCTTTTGAGAAGGGAATAAAAATAGAGACTATAACCTCTGCTGGGGAAAGATCTGCCTCTGGCACTCTTGTGAAGAATTCATCATTCAGTGGAATCTGTCGTGTTCCATCTGATAGGAAAAATAATTTGCTTAGAGCATGTGCTTGGTGCAGACCTAGATCTTTATGGCCACCATCAAAGAGACAAAGACCGAAGAAGGCTTCCCTGTACTTATCTGGGAAATCTCATTGGACCTCACTGGACTCTTCAAAGACCAGACTGATCTGACAGGACAGAAACACTTGTAGGAAGAGTGGGAGGCTTTCATTATTCTTGCCATTCCAGATTAGCCAGCTGTGACCTCTGCTCCCATCCTTTGTTTCTTCAGAGGGCTTCTCAAGATCAAATTTGTCTGCTTATTAGAGTGGAGATTCTTTTGCATTTTGCCATTGACAAATACAATGGAGTTTTATTTGTTTATTGTTTACTGCTCCTTCATTAGTTTGGACAACGTCAGCATAGATTTAATTTATTAAAACTTTGTCCCGTGTTGCATCTCAGTAACAGAAAGAGAAGGAACATCAATTGTTATTTTTTTATTTTCTTTCTTTCCCCTTATATAAGAGCAAAAGTAAAGTAAAGTAAGGAACCTCCATTTTCCAGTACCTTCTATTACTAAGGCATAGAAATGTAATTTTTAGTAGTCCCGCATGCATATGCTTTTGCTCCCAAATCATGCACTCAAGTACAAGTGTACAATTCACTAAACAGATTATGAGTCAGGTGTATCACCCTTCAGTTTGTACTGTTGTTGTTTGTCTTCAAGTTGTTTTCAACCTATGGTGACCCTAAAGCAAACCTATTGCCAGATTTTCTTAGCAATATTTGTTCAGAGAGGTTTTTGTCTTTGCATCTTTTTGAGGCTATGAGTGTGTGACTTGCCTAAAGCCACCCAGTAGGTTTCCATAGATGAGCGGGAATTTGACCCCGATCTCCAGCATTGTAGTTCAATGCTCAAACCACTACATCACCCTCACTGTGGATTTGTACTTTGTTGTTGTTAACTGCCCTCAAATCAATCCTCACTTGTGGCAACCTTGGACGTTATCACACCAGGGATCTCAAAGCGGCAAGAAAAGCGGCAT